AAAGGATGGAAGAGAGAAGGAAAGGATGGAAGAAATGAAAGAAAAGGAGGAAGGAATGGAGCTGTTGTTTTACCTTCATGTCTGTTTGTAATAGATGAGTCTGGCTTTCATCGACAATGTAAGCAATTGTGAATAGACACGTCATAACCACTTCTGACTGTTCTGCATGAAGAAAAGGCTCTGAAGCCTGAGCTGCTTTGATATCACATAATACCTGACGATTCTCTGTTGCTTTGGCGCAGTTGTGCAATATGTCTATTGCATATGTAAGAAGAATTTTCAATTTCTGTAAAATATAGCATGAACACAAATCCAYAAATTTGAATTTTTGAATACCATGYACCAATAGGCCCTTTGCAGCTCAGTAATCACTTGATGATTAATTCACACTGAGAGCAAATGAATGAACATCTTGATTCCCATGGGTGAAATACACTGATGAACAAAGAAATTTTCTACAACCTGTTTCGAGAGATCATAATAAAACTGCATCTCGTAACACACTGGATACACATCTTTTCATTCAGTTCTTTACGAGTAGCTAAAAAGAATCACCAATTTAAAATAAAATAAAAAATTTTGCTCACGTGAATGTTAACTGCAAAGGGCCTATTGCAACCAAGGCCAACTTGTGTTGAACAATCAAAAACTTGAACTTACAGCATTTCAGGATTTTGCATACCTGGTCTTTTAGTGCTGTAAGACCAAAACTCTTCATCTCCGTGACCAGCATTTCCAGTATTCCACTTTTCCCAATCTCTTTTGCCATTTTCATGCTACAGTTTGAATAATTGCATAAAATGGTTCGAATGATATTCACTCCATCCCACCATTCCTTTGTATACTTTCCTTTGTTATTTAAATATTCAATAAGTTTCTTTAGTTGAATTGCTGCACCTATGTCAGCCAAGTAATCACCATATCTTTGACACTGTAAGGGGGTTTTTGCTGTAAAGTAGTTTYTCAAAACATCCTCTTGCAGCTTCTTTAGAATCAATGATATTTCTGTATTATTGAGCATTTGTATTGAATTGATAGCCATTTCCATTTTTTGGTTAACTAAATGTTCCTCATTGGTTATCTGAGTCACAACACCTGAGAATTAATTGTGGAAAAACCAGAAAATTAAGGTAAAAGACTAAAAGCAGTAAAAGTAAATAACAATAGTGGGGTCCAGGGTAGGGGATAGGGGAACAATAAAGGGAGGGTCCACTGTAGGGGATAAGGGAACAAGGGATTTATGGCCTTATGTGGGGAATAAGGAAATAAGAAAGGGAGGGTCCTATTTACAGAATAAGGGAGCAATGAAAGGAGTGTCCAGTGTAGGGGATAAGGGAACAAGGAAGGGAGGAACCACTATAGGGGATAATGAATGAAGGGAGGGGGGTCCAATGTAAAGGAAAGGGGAACAGTGAAGTGAGGGTCCACTATATGGGATAAAGGAGCACTATTGTCTCTATCAATTAATAGGGTAAAAAAAGCAATACAAACCTCTTGCACGATCTCTAGAACGGCCTGATGGAGGTCGTTGAGCTTCTAAGCCATCCATGTTGTAGAATCATAGACAACTTAGTGTAATCATTTATGTAGAGCATAGAGGTGACTAACATTATGCCATGATATAATCAGTGATGTTCACCTCCTTTTTTCTACTAAAATAAAAGGAATAAAGTAAGTATCAATTCAGCCAAATATATTTAAAAAACGTTTATGTGAATTCATACTACTAATAWGTAGAATTTTTGTATAAAAAGTAAAGTATTTATAGGGGGAGGGAAGGGGAGGGCAGCAGGCCCTTGGACAATCTACACATTGGTGGATTTTGCAAGAAATTTAGTCTGGATTTCAGATTCAAAGTAAAGTAGTTAACAGATTGGTGGATCCCACAATTTTAKTGGATTAAGGGTTTTGCTCCTAGGGTTTGAAGCATGGATCTAAACCACAAAATCGTTTAAAAAGTACAATCACATACGAGGCGCCTGTCAAATTATTTGCGGATTCAAATTTCAGTAATTGTTTTTGTGGATTGACAGATTTTATGAACAGATGGGTTTTTGTCATCAAGATTTTGTATTTGCAGTATCAGGTATTTTCATGATTTTTTTTCTTTTTTCTTTTTTCTTTCTTTCTTTCTTTCTTTCTTTTTATTTATTTGTTTTTGATTTTTGAAGTTTTGTTAGAAAGCCAACGCATTTCAATCCAAAACTGATGAAACTCTTATCAAACTACAGGTTTTTCTTTGAAAAGGCAAGGCAAAGCTTTTGTCAAGCAAACACTTGGACATTTCTATTGTGTTATTATTGCAAGATAATATTTTATTTTGTCACACAATATCTTCATTAGAATAGACATGCTATCTTTTTTTTCCAATAAAAAAATTCAAAAAATGATGCAAATCTATTGAATATTTGTTGTTATGGAGATAAACAAATAGTAAATATAATACTTGATTAGCATGTTTGCTTATACTAATATAAAGATATACAGAAATATAATAGAGTGCAAACAATGTATCTGTGAAACACTTAATTACTAAATTGTTCAAAAGAATGCTAGTTAAACAAAAGAAAACAATAGAATTAGCATAAAATAGTGTAAGGTAGTATTACCAATATTTCACTGATATAGAGTACAAACACTAGAAGTGTGCAACACTTTGCACTATTTAGTAGTAAATAGTGCTAATTAAACAATAGAAAACAATAGGATTAGCATAATTTAGCAGTATTTAGTGAAATTTATGTTGCACACTTATAGTGTTTGTACTCTATTGTTTGCATTCTATATAATATATACAGTGTGGTGCTTGACTATCGATACACTACTACACTTAGAGTGCATACCATAAATCTGCGAAAAAGTTAACGAAATTCAAAAGAGTTCAAAACTTTTTGTAGGTCTACGGTCTACTGTCGAGAGGACTAACTGAACTTACCCATTTGTGCAAATTGGTGCAATTTCTCACAAAGAAAGACTCATTTCTCACAAGACTCATTTCTCACAAGACTCACTGATGTATGGTATTCACTCTCATCACGAAGTTTGTATTCAAGATTCTGTGCTAGAAATACATATTTAGATTTCTAAGAGTTGCAGACAAT